TAAGACTATTTGCCTGTGCTGCAAGTACTTTTTACAGCTAATACTTTAATCTGCTTTATTATACTCCTGTGTACTAGCTTCTCAAGAGCAGTTTGTCTCAAATCAAAGCAAATCAAATCATTTATTGGTGTTATTAACAAAAAGTTGTATTACACAAGTCAGATAGAAAAAGAACTTTACATGACATAAAGAATATATGAAAAATGAAAAACATACATGACAATATTTATGTGTATAAAAGAACATTTATCACAGATTTGGTATATCACAGTTTAAAAACTCTCGATGGCAACACATTAAAAGGCATTTTAAATTTAAAACCAAATTATAGGTAGTGTCGTATTCAGGTTTATCTAATTAGCCCATCCAAGATGTCACCATTATTCGACAAGTGGGTTAAAGTAAAAAAGGCGTCGCAGAAAATGACTTCACCTAACTTTGATTAAAATATGATAAATAGTTGCAAAATTAGCTTTATCTATTTTGCGTTCATAATGACTTCATTATAACACCGCTTTCGGTGCTGTAATGAGATTACTTTAAACAGCATAATATTTTGCATATTGGTTATAATATTTTTATGATTTTTCTAGGACTTACGAGACTTTTCTGGCAATAAATTTTGTTTAACACCAAAGATCCTTTTTTTCTTCTCTAACATTGTAAATAAGTAAATTAAGGACGGCATGGCAAATCGATTTTGACATTAACTGTCAAACCAATGACTGTGATACCAACTAACTAAAGTAAAATTCGACCAAATTAAATTTAAGCTATAAAATTATTTTTTTATAGAATTTTTGCAAAATAGATAAAATAGCATAAAGAATCATGTCATAAGACCTTTTTTCGCACTCGTCCATTACAAATTAATAAATTGTCCGCGTGCGACAAAATGACGTCTTATGACATTAGTTCTTTAATATACTATTTCATTAAAAATGTGGTGTTGGCATTAAAATATCACCCCAGGATGTAGAAATATTGCAAACATTCAATTTTCTTAGTTTCTTCAAGAAACTTTCTTGGCCCATTACTGGTAGTATTCATTCATTTCTAGTGAATATTACGAGTAATGGGTTAAGAAAGTTTCTTGAAGAAACTAAGAAAATTGAATGTTTACCTATAATGATTTCTTCAGGCTATATTAGTATCTGTGATTCAATTTGCCGTGTGCAGTCTTGGTTGCATACTATCTACCGATTGCGGCAAAGGCCGTGATGCTCTTACATCTCGCCTCTGTTGGCTTACTAGCTTAGTATATAAGGATAGACATTGTTTGAACAAAGATACTGATTAGTTGGTTTGTTTTTCAGATGCGGTGGGGATGGTCAAATGAAATGCGACCCGAAACCTTGCAGTCCTGAGCCGATGCTGCGTCAAATGATGGCCGTGGCCGCGTCGAGAAGACGGAGATGAACTGGGAGTTGAGAGGGAAGAAGAGGAACGGAAGTGAGTGCACGAGTCAGGCAATGAGTGCATAGTGATAAAGACAGTTATATAATAATTGAAAAACAAAACAAAATAGTCTCGAACTTAATTAAGCGTTCTCGGGTGCCAAAAATAATTGAACGGACATTGCAGGTTATGTGCCTTTTGTATAAAAAGGGGAAGCGCCCCGATATCGGACGATGAAAGTGGAATGACGCGTATACTCGACTAGATATTTATAAATACCTATATTGACTGAATGAAAATTTTTACACTTTTGTAATTAAAACAAACAGTTTTTTTGAAGTGTCGTTTTTTTGATAAGCCATTTAAAATATACTCGCGGGCTCTATATATTAGTATTATTGTGTTGTGTATCCCGAACCAAGTCTGAGTTGTTTGACTAACAGAAATTACCTCTTAGTACTTAATTTTCAATCAATTAGCAACTTTATCGTAATAGCATCAAGTTTCAATTTACTGTGTTTTTTGTTTTATCCTTTTTTACGATTCTGTTTTTACATTTCTGCTACTTGAACGCTTAGACTTACCTCTTTGTATATTAACGGATGCTCAATATTATATGATTAAGTAGATTATGTAGTATTTATCAATAAATATAATAAATAAATTATGTAAATGATATTATCTTTTTGTCTTATTCACCCAAATACTTGACACCCTATTTTTTATCATCATGTTTATCATCAATTAATTAAATAATCAATTAATTGATTAAATATTTTTGATTAACTTTTTTGTTATGCCTGATTTATGGGTAGGAAAAGATTGAGGGCCCTCCTCCTTTATTCGGGCTTGGGACCGACAGGTTAAAAATACCTGGCGGAGTTACCCTCCAACCCTCCTCATGGTCTATAAAAACAAACTAAATTAACTGATCTTTAAAAAAGAATAGGTTCCATCTCCAACTTAAAGAATCTAATGACAATTTGACTTACGACCCCTAACAAAAACGAAGTGAAAGAACTAATCTTTAAATAAAGAATAAGTTCCATCTCCAACTTTAAACAAGATTTGACGTGACAAAAAGAATCTAAAAAGTTTTGACCTAGGTTCCCTGCAAAAACGATGTAAAGTAACTAATCTTTAAATAAAGAATAAGTTTCTTCTCCAACTAAAACAAGATTTGACCTAAACAAATATAAGAAATATTCCCCAACACCAAAACAAAACACAAAGTGCTTAAAGTACTTTCCGCCAACGATGTTTGCATCTTCAGAAGCGAAGTGTAACTAAATCTAAATGCTAAATCTACCATATTTATACTAATTATAACTATAAGCTAAGGTTGACTTAACCGTAAACGGACACTGGATCGTAATCGCTTCAGTGAACACATAAAGAGAAACTAACAAACTGATTTAAACAAACTAGACTAGGGTACCGGTCCGTTATCGCTATTCAAAGATTTATTTCTAATCTTATAGATGTATAAACCTTCATAACCATCTAGCAGACTTGGTTCCTTAACCTAATAAGTTTAAGGTTGTCAAATTCTATTCTATGACCATCATCAAGTATATGTTGGGCAATACTCGATTTCTCTGTCCTACCAAATCTAGCATTGGCCAAGTGCTAGATTTTGTAGCACAGAGAAATGAAGCAGATCTTGAGCAACATTCGACTTCTCTGTATTACCAAATCTAGCACTGGGCCAAGTGCTAGATTTGGTAGGACAGAGAAATCGATTGTTCTCCAACGTATACTTAATGATGGTCATAGAATAGGATTTGGCAACCTTAAGCTTACGCCTACTAGATAGTTATAAAAGTTTATACATCTATAAGAATAGAAATAAATGTTTAAATATCGATAATGGACCGGTACCCAACTAGAGTTTGTTAGTTTCTCTTTACGTATTCACTGAAGTGATTATGGTCCAGGGTTTAGTAAACTATAATAATTAGTATACATTTGGTGGATTTAGCATTTAGATTTAGTTACACTTCGCTTCTGGAGATGTCAACATTGTTGGCGAAAAGTACTTTACCACTTTGTGTTTTGTTTCCGTAACATATCACTAAGGAACAAGATTTGACCTGACAAAAAGAATCGAAAAAAGTTTTGACTTACTACCCCTAACAAAAAAAAGAAAAAGAACTGATCTTTAAAAAAGAATAAGTTCCATCTCCAACTTAAAGAATCTAAAAAAAATTTTACTTACGACCAAAACAAAGTAAAATAACTAACCTTTAAATAAAGAATAAGTTCCATATCCAACTTAAAGAAACTAATGAAAATTTGACGACCCCTAACAAAAACGAACTAAAAGAACTTATTTTTAAATAAAGAATTAGTTCCATATCCAACTTAAACAAGATTTACCCTAACAAAGAGAAAAATAAAATTATTATATATTTTATTTATTATTATTATTATTAACTCAAGACGCACTCTGATATGTGCCATATCCAACTTAAAGAAACTAATGACAATTTGACGATCCCTAACAAAAACGAATCAAAAGAACTTATCTTTAAATAAAGAATTAGTTTTATATCCAACTTAAACAAGATTTGCCCTAACAAAGAATCTAAAAAAGTTTTGATTTACGACCCCCAACAAAAAAAAGAACTGATCTTTAAAAAAGAATAAGTTCCATATCCAACTTAAAAAAACTAATGACAATTTGACTTACGACTCCTAACAAAAACGAATTAAAAGAACTTTAAATAAAGAATTAGGTCCAAGAAATTTCGAAAATAAAAAATTTTAGTCAAAAAAATTAAAAGTAATAAATTGGTAGGTACTTCCCAAATTCCTTGATGAGTTCTGGTTGAATCGTATTATCCTTATTTCTTATTATCCATGGGTTAATGTTGAACCTAGAAAAAAATAGAATTGGACGATTTAACGGCTGCAATTTTTATGTTTTTAATTTTTTTAAATATCAAAAAAAACGTAGTATTATTTGAGTTAATAGATGCGCTAGAATTCTAATAATACCTAACAATTTGTAGATGTAAATCAAAGTAATAAATAAGCATGTTTATCGTATCAAAGCCAAATTAAAACTGAATTGTTGATTACGTTGTAGGGATTATATATATTTTTATTAGCAAAAACAACCAAAAAAAGGGTGAGTCATACTTGCGCGATAAACATATTACGTTAAGGGTGACAAATTTTAATTATAGGTATATTCGTTATTTATTATTTTACTAATACTCAAATAATCTAATTGCCATTATACAGGGTATTCCAAAAATTATGCACCATTTTGAGTTATTAGGGTTTAAAAATTGAATTTAATTTGTGTTATTTTCCAAAGACGTTTTAAAAATAAAAACTTAAATAAAAAATCCTTATTGCTTGATATTTTTGTTGAAAATGTTTAACACAAAAATTGTAGATATTAAACTAACAATTCTAAAAATCTTCTTTAATGAAAACAAAGTACTACCTTTTAAAAGACAACTTTTAGGTTTAAAAAAACCTAAAAGTTGTCTTTTAAACATTGTCATTAGGCAACTCACATTATATTTATTCGGCCAATTTATCGTCATTTTAACTAATTACAGATTTCTGTAACTTAGTTGACGTGATCGCCGATAGATGCTGGGCGAATTGACAGTTCGATATTTGTCAAGTGTCTATTGGTTGACAACTCGGCGAATGTCTTCCGTGTTCGAAGTAAAGTTATTTTATAATTTAGGTATTTTAGACTAGGAAATTCACAACCATGGATCGGTTAATAGGATTAACAAATGTTCGGTCAACTTTTTTCGCTGTTTTAATGGTAAGTTTCACTGTACTATACGTGTAAAATCGCTTTAAGAATATTTATGTTAATTATGAATTGATTAGTAGTTGTATACGCACATTGTTCTGCTACTTAACGGTCTAAAATGATAAATATAAATATTAAAAAGAATTGTTTCTATTTTAGGTTGTTTGTATATTTTATAATCCAACTGACAGTGGGGCTGTAACGTTAACACAACAAAATATTGATATGACTTTGGGTATGTACAAATTATAATAAATAAATAAAAAATTAATGATTTCTTGTAGCCTCAAACGAACTAGTCTTTATTAACTTCTACGCAGACTGGTGCAGGTTTAGTAATTTATTAATGCCCATATTTGATGAGTCCGCCGATGCAGTAATGAAAGAGTTTCCCGAACAGGGTAAAGTGGTGATGGGAAAAGTGGATTGCGACAAAGAAAGTTCAATAGCCACCCGTTTTCACATCACCAAATACCCTACACTTAAGGTAATAAGAAACGGCCAGCCAGCTAAAAGGGAGTTCAGAGGCCAGAGATCAGTCGAAGCGTTTACCAATTTCATCAAAAAACAATTGGAGGATCCAGTTAAGGAGTTTAAAAATTTGAATGAACTAACCAATTTGGAGTCTAATAAGAGAATTATTATTGGTAAGTTTTTTGGCTTGTCACGTTTTTTCAAGCCCTTTAATTATATTATTTAAGCAGAAAAAAAATACAAAACATATTTCTAATGGGTAGTTTTCAAGTTATTAGGCATTTAAATTAAAAACTCTTTGTTAAATAAGATCAAATAAAATATATACAAAAAAAATTGAATTGACAAATATATTTTCTGACAGTTAAAATTTTTGGACAGTTTGTGTAAATAAAAATCAAAACTTTAAAATATAAAATCCTATATCTCTGTTATGTTTTTAAAGCCTTTATATACCAAGAAATTGTGTTTTATTGAAATTTGTTATAAAATCAACCATAAAAAGTTTTATTCCATATTAAATATAATAATTTGCATATAGATAAGAACAATTTAACAACATTTTTTATGTTTACATTGATAAACATTCTACTACCAAGCTAAGGAAAGTTTTAACTAAAATATAATTTTAATAAAAAAGGCTATTTTAAAATTCTTTATTTTCGTTTTTGGACCTAATGAATCCATACTATTTTTTAAGAAACTAGTATGCAAGGTTTTTGTTATTTTGTGAATAATACAAAAATAATACCTACTTAGGTGCTAGGTCCTAGTCATTAAAGAATATTTTTTAAGAAATCTTATACTTTCACTATCTTTAAACTATTTATAATTTTAATTATTTACTATTATTAAGCACAATAATAACATAATATATATGTACTAATTATTTTTATATCATACTCTAAAATTCATTACAAAAACTTACTATCTAACCCTTAGACAATGATTACTTTTTACCTTATTTTCTAAAAATGTTTTAAAACGTATAGGAAATGTACAAATTTTTTAATATGATTGGAAAAACAATTTTTTCTACTACTAAACGCCCTTTATCGTACATGTTTCCATGACACTTAGTGACCTTTTAAATACACATTGACAAGTTGTGGCTTTACGGCGTTTTAGTCACGGGCTGAAGTCTGCAACAGATTTTTAGTCATAGGCTGAAGTTAGTTTTAAGTTAGTTGACAGTTGTCAAATGTCATACAATCGTTAAAATAAAGTGCCTTTCTTGTAAAATAATACTAAATGTGAAAATTATTTTATTATCTCAATACAAAAATACAAAAGTATTAAATAGTTTCTCAACGCCAATATTTGAAAAGTTTATATGAACATTGTACTGACCTTTTAATTTCAAGGAGTACATTTCGATTTATAACACATAAAAAATTGACATTTGACAGTACCTAACACAGATTCCTCTATTGTTTCATAGATGGCGCTCTATACAAATATTTGATTTCTTGCTTGTTTCAATCTTTTTTGAGCTGTTCGAAGAGATCCTGGAAATTGTGTATCTTTTCGGGCCTGCGCTATTGAAAGGATTTTGCCTAATATGTGCGACAAGAGCATTGTCTTCATTTTCGTTGGAGATTTTTCCTACACCTTGCCTGATAGGTCTTCTTAATCTTTGTTGTTCTTGCCAACGTTTTTTGATATAAAATATGCAGCTTTTACTGACATTTAAATCTGCAGCTACTTCACTTAAAGACCAATTTTCTTCTAATTTGGCTATTGCCCTGGACCTTTGAGCCTCGGTTAAGTGGGGTGGCATTTTTAATATTGCAATTGACAACTGAGGAGTGATTTTTCAAAAGGCCTTATTTTCATTTTTACTTGAAAGAAAGAAAGAAAGAAAGAAAATACGTTTATTTTGAAAAATCCAGAGAGTGCGCGTTAACACTCTATACGGATTCATCCTCTCACAACAATACAACAAAAATGTACAAACAACAAAAAATAAAAATAAAAAAGTAGTAGTAGTAGATATTCATTTCACATTTCGTCATGTTTTAAGAGCTTAAACTAGTTTCTATACTATAGATAGGTACATTACATGTTTGATAATGCAAGGACGGAAAAGAGAAGAAAAATAAAATAAAATGACAATATTTGTTGAGACACTCTAGCTTGGATGTAATTTTTTGACAAAATCCCAAAGGTATGGTTAAAAGGCATATATTAACGGCGAAATATGACAGCAGGTCTGAAGTATTATTAAATATTCATCAGAATTTTTTTTCAATAATCTATATTGCCCTAACCTATACAGGTTATAGTAATTTTTTTGAAAAATTGTTGCAAATGGAAATACGACCTTTTGAAAAATCACTCCTCAACTATTATCAAATTTGACAACGACCGACGACACTGATGCAAAGCCCATATTACACGATTAAATTTTGCCGTTCACATTTCGGGGACGCCAATTGTACACAAGCCAAACGTATCTCCTAACTGTTTTATTCTGTTCAATTAAAATAAAGTTTGTTTACCTATATTGTAAACAGTGTTCTGCTTTCTTTTGCAATAACCAAATACAACATTTCTGAATAATTCCGGATATTTATTTTAATCGCCATGTACCTATGCATAGGTACCTACCATTCATTGGCGGATCCAAGGGGGGGGGGGGCGATCGACCCCCCCCCCCGGAAGTAAGTTATCAAGTTGAAATTGAACATAACTTTTTAAATTAATATATAAAATAATGGAATAACTTTAATTTCAACTTACTTATTATTTACAAACATTTTTAACTCCGCCCCCCCCCCCAATGACACATTCTAGATCCGCCCCTGCTACCATTTCTCTGCTAAAAGTCTTATTAACTCTTCCAGAAGACTCCCAAATCTTGCTATTAGTCTGACTTACTAATACTTATTCAGACTTTTTAAGAGAAAGTAAGACTTTCAAAACTCTTATTAAAACTTTTTCAGAGAAAAATGTCCACAAGGGTACAACACAAAACTGGTCCTGCACGTCAATTTCGTTATCGTAGAGACGTTTATTTTCAGGATACTTTGACCGTCGCGACCAGCAAGAGTACAACATGTTCCGACGCGCCGCGACCAACCTGAAGGACGACTGTCAGTTCCATGCAGGGTTCGAGGAGGTCTCCCGTCAGATGCACCCCGCCGGTCAGCCGATAGTGGTGTTCCGGCCGGACAAGGACCGCTCGAACGACCTCGACGTGACCTATCCGGGTTCCCTCCTCAACTTCGACGAGCTGCACGTGTGGATGCAGGAGAAGTGCGTGCCGCTGGTGAGGGAGATCACGTTCGAGAACGCCGAGGAGCTGACGGAAGAGGGACTGCCGTTCCTGATCCTGTTCCACGCCCCGGACGACAAGGAGAGCATCAAGCGGTTCAACGAGATCGTGCAAACCGACTTGCTGTCGGAAAAACGTGAGTAAAATGTTTTTCATTTATTAATTTATCTTTACTAGGGTTTTAAAGTGTCGAAAAAAAAACGAAAACATTGGGGATAAAACCTGTTATTTTTCAGGCCTTTGAAAAATTGGCTTTTTTGGGAATTTTTTTTTTTTGAAAATATACACATTTCAAAAAAAGTAGCAATCAACAACTTAACATTATTTTAAATAAACAAATCCTTTATTACAAAAAAATAAAACTAAACATTAAATTAAATTTAAGAAAATAAACGTAGTTGGGTTTTTTTGTTGCAAAAAGGAGTCCATTAAAAATATCTTGCTACAAAATAATGAATGATTAATAAAGTTAAATTACAAAATTATAATTTTATAAATCGAAGTGTTAAATAAAAGTGTTGTTAATATAGCACCCAATAGGTTTTTTTGCGGCCCGGTAGAATATTCTTACTAAATTAAAATAAAAGGGATAATTATTATAATCATAATATTATATGATTATAATAATTATCTGTACACTGATATCGAGAAAAAAGTGAATTTCTAACGCTAATTATTAGTGTACAGATGCTATCGAGAAAAAAGTGAATTTCTGACGTTTTACCCTTTGAATAAAGTGTAAAAAATGAAAGTCAATTTTTTGAAAAATTTCAAATTTTTTCGATTTTTTTCGGAAAAAACGGTACTTTATTACTACATTACTTATACTGCATTTTAGCGTTAAAGGCAGGGTTCGAAAAAATCATGATTATTAAAAACATAAAAAAAATCACCAAAAAATTACTTTTTTAATTTTTAGTACGATTTTTCAAAATTATTTATAAAGCTTATAAGCTTTTTTAATAAAGTCTACTATTTAAAAAAATATTAAAAATAACTTGACTATAATAATATTATATTGGCACTACTGCCACCGTCCGCAGCTGTCATATATTTCTTTATTATTTTATTTAGCAAAATAATCAGTTTTTCTATGCATATAAATTTATTTAAATAGTTTCAAGATATTATTGTTCTTTGTTTTAAGTGTTTTCTAGATTTTGGAAATTTTTTTAAAACTGATTTAAATCAAGTGATTTTTTTAAAACTAAAGCACAATAATATCTTGACACTATTTAAATAAATTCATATGCATAGAAAAACAGCTTATTTTGTTAAATAAAATAATAAAGAAATATACAAAAAATATATGACAGTTGCGGACGGTGGTTTATTTTTTTTATTAAGTAGTGCCAATATAATGTTATTAGTATATTTATTAAAAAAGCTTTTAATTTTGAATATTTTAAGTCATGAAAAGTATTTTCCTCACTGGGAAAATTTTTAAAAAGGTGTTTCTAGTCTTGAAAATTTTAATATGGAAGCACAATATTCAAAATTAAAAAAAGTAATAAAAATCAAAAATAGTATATTACACTACAAGGGCAGAAAGTGTGAGATTCCTGCACTTTTCAGGGCTCTCACACTTTCTGCCCGTGTAGTGTATACTATTTTTCTTACTACCTCGGCCGAAAATACAACCCAACCCAACCCGGCCGAAAATACGGGAAAAAGTTAAATGTGTATATCGAAACATATTGATGCCTGCCCCGACATTTGCGGCACGAGCGAAGCCTTCGTAGCCCTTGTAGTGTAATATACTCGAAAATACGTTGTTTCGTCCCCGATTCCAATGCATCAAACGTAAATTTGACCAATGCATCAAACGTAAACTTTCTGTCGTGGAATCGGGGACGAAACAACGTATTTTCGGCCGAGGTAGTAAGAAAAAAGTCATGATTTTTTCGAACCGTGAATTAAACATTGGCAAGTTAAATGTAAAAATGTCATCAATAGTATTTATTAATTTTATTTTATTTATTTTGTCAATACAAAAGCAAAAAAACGCCATATTTTTACAAAATACAAGGCCTACTATGTCAGTTTTTTTTAAATCGCTTATATGAATTCTTAAAAATTTAATTTCAAAAACTGACATAGAGTAAACATTTGTAAAAATATGGTGTTTTTTGTTCCAAAAATACAGTTTTGTTAGAAAATGCTTTATATGTGTTTTTATTTTATTTAAATGGCTTGATAGTATTTTTAAATACTAAAAAATTTAAGTTTACAAAATGCCACCCAATTAAATTATACTTGGGAAATTATTTTTATTAAAAAATGATAGTTAGAAATTTTTGCAAAAATTAATAGAAAATAATATTGTTTAATACAGAAGTGAACTGTTGGTTAGTAAATTTTGTCTTTCAATACATGATAGTTGAAAAGATTTTAAATTTATAAATGTAAACCTAAAATTTTTAGTTAGGAAAATTTTAAACCAATAAAATTTTAAATTAAAAAATTATTTAATAAATGTTAAGGTAGACAATTATTATTAGTTTGTAATCATTTCTGAAGAAGCTACTGTGTTGGCGAAACAATTGTCAAAATAAATTCGTGAAACTCAAAAAACCGTTTGTTTTTTATGCAGTTTTACATTAAAACGATATTCCAGAATCGATAAACTTCCTGACCGCCGACGGCCAAAAGTTCGCGCACCCCTTGCACCACCTGGGCAAGAGCGACAAGGATCTGCCGTTGATAGCCATCGACTCGTTCAGGCACATGTACATGTTCCCCGATTACAAGGACATCGAGCAGCCCGGCCGGCTGAAGCAGTTCCTCAAGGACCTCTACAGCGGAAAGCTGCACCGCGAGTTCCACTACGGTCCAGACAGCGACGGCGACGACGCCAATCAGCTGACGCAGGAGGGCAACAAGCGGCCCACCAACCCCCCGGAGAGCACCTTCAAGAAGTTGGCCCCCTCCAAAAACAGGTACACCCTCATCAAGGAAGAGTTGTAAGTTTCTGCTGTCAAGTTAAAATAATTTTTTCGTAGTTTTGTTCTTGTTACTTTCCGAAGATAATATTCTTCTTCGAGAAATTCCCCCCTCTTTCGAGAATTATTGAAGTTTCATTCGGTCAAAAATGCGACTTAATCTTTCCAACTTTTGTCGGTTTTCTTTTAATCAATTATTGTTCCAACACTTGTAGATACAATTTGAATTAGTTTTCGTGTTAAACTTATAAACTATTAAATAAATTGACGTGACTGATGCGTGTTTGTTGTGTGATCCTCCATAATAATTATTATTGCAAAAAAATATTTCTTGTGGCATTATTCTGTGTACTGCTGATTTTAAACAAGGGATTCATCTAACACTTCCAATGGGGAAATTATTTGTTAATGGTTTTATTATAAGACTAAATATTGCTCCATTGGTTTTAAGAAGAATCCATACTATATTGGGCTATTTATTATTATCTATATTTGTTAAGCTACACTTAACTAACAATCTTTTTTTAGTATTTCAGTTAAGCTCTTGTTTATTCCATTCCAAATCGACCACTTTTAACCCCAACTTTTGCTAAAATTTTTACCCTATCAAAAAAAATTTCAGAATTTTTAAAAACAAAATTACCCGACCCAAAAAAAGTTATGAATTGATTTTTGTTTTGTTTTTAAATGACTTTTCAGAAAAAAAAATATTCAACAGTCTTTTTTTAATTTTTTTATTAATAACTTTGACATTTTTTGCAAATTCTCTAATATTTTTAGAGTTTCGTTTTTTCGTGTTCTATTATTTTCAAATGAAAAATTTTTTTTCATAATACCACTCTGGATATAACCTCAAGGTATGAAAAAAATAATAAATGAAATTGAAAGTGGTAATCATCAATTTTTTTTTTTAAATGTTTTTCGAAAAAGTAAGAAACAAAATAAAAGAATTCTTTTTTTATATATTTTTGAACCTACATTTAAAAACAAAGAAAATGAGAAATAATTTAATAAACAATAGCTATAAATACAATAAATTAAATTATTTAATATACTATGTTTTTTAAGTAATTAAACAAAAAAAGCATAAAAACATAAAACGAATTCCATCACAAATTAAATATATAAAAAAATTTAAAAGCCATTTGTTTGTTCAAAGAAAACAAAATTTTTTTAAAATTTTCTTTGTGACATTTTTTGCAAATTTTCTGATAATTTCAGAGTGGCGTTTTTTCGTTTTCTATTATTTTCAATTGAAAAAAAATAACTTAACCTATTTTGCATAATACCACTCTGGAGATTTTTGAGGATGTATAGAAAACCTCAAGGTAAGAAAAAAATAATAATTTAAATTGAAAGTAATAATCATCAAATTTTTTTGTTTTTCATAAAATTAAGAAAAAAATAGAAGAATCCTTTTTTATATATTTTTTGAAACCTACATATAAAAACAAAGAAACTAAAAATTAATTTAATATAATAAATAGCTATAAATACAATAAAAAAATTATTTAATAAACTATTTAATAAACCATCACAAATTAAATATAAAAAAAATTAAAAACCAAAATTTTTTTTTTATTTTTTTTTTGTAAAATTAATTTAATTAAAATATATATCAAAATGTATTCATTTGTTCTATTTTCTTTCTTACCTTTTTGAAACTTTTTACCACTTTTAATAAGATGATGTTTTCATAATGGCGTTTTTTGTTTTCTATTTTTTTTCAATTAAAAAAAAACTTGACCTATTCTCATAATACCACTCTGGAGATTTTTAAGGATGTAGAGAAAACTTTATGAAAAGTATGAAAAAACAAATGAAATTGAAAGTGGTAATCACCAAAATTTTTTGTTTTTCGAAAAAGTAAGAAAAAAAATAATACAAATGAATACATTTTGATATATATTTATTAAATTATCCTTTTTTATATATTTAAAAACAAAGAAATAATAATGAGAAATAATTTAATAAACTATGTTTTTTAAGTAATTAAACAAAAAAGCATAAAACGAATTCCTTCACAATCAGTTGAACCAAATAACATTTTTTTAATTTTTTTTGTTATTAAATTAATTAAAACATATAAAACATTTATTCATCTGTTCTTCTATCTCCTATTTTTTTTTCTTACTTTTTAATTGAAAAATAATTTAGAACTAGAGTTTGCAGAAAATGTCTGTTTTTCAATAAAAAAAGAATTTTTAAATGACAATGACTAAAAAATTTTTGTTTTCTTAAAAAAAATTGGCATGATTAATTTTTTTCATATTTTTCTAAAAAGTATATTTAAAAACAAAAATTAAAAAAAAATCGTCCCGATAAGTCAATTTTTGAAAAATATATAGATATTTAAAAATTAAAGAATTATTTTATTGAAAAATTTATAACTTTTTCTGAAAAATGTTTTTGATAGGGTAGAAAAAGTGGTCGATTTGGTATGAAATGCCCCTCAATTAGGGGCCCTCATATACATTGTAAAAATATAAATATTAATAGGCTAGTTTTTAAAGTGTTATATTAAAAAATTAATTATTTGGCTTTTCTTATATTGTTTTGGGCTGTAAATATTTTTAGAAAATATTTAAATTTGATTTTGTATATACATGTAATAGTATTATTTTTTGCAATAAAAACATTTTAAATTAAATTTTAGTTTTTTATTTTTAACATGTTTAATCGTCAATCTCAAGAATGTAAATAATAAAAATATTATTTGCAGTACTAAAATGTTTATAAAAGCGTCGCTAGAACAAAACAAGTGAATTAATTGGTCCGCTGAATTATATTTTTGCAATATTACACAACTCCAATTTGCATTGCAATAGAAAATAAAAAACAGCGATTCTGTTGGGTGACTCAAAGGCGACCTGATTTCAATCCCCCGCGTCGCAGAGCTTGAACGCTATTGGCCGACGATTAAACAGGCATTTCAGCGGACCAATGAGAGAACACCACATACTCGGATCCGTTGTGACGTCAAAACGAACAATTTCCAGCGAAAATTGCATCAGAAAGATTTTGTAGTTCCCAAAGTGGAGTGCGCTTATTTGTTAGTCGTATAGAAGACTGTCTTGACGAAAGAAGAGTCATAAACAGTGGTTGAGTAACAATCAACAACAATATTAGTTATTTGAAGATATTTAAAGGGAATATAATGACGACCGTGCCGTCAATATTAAAATATTTGGCGATGAATAACAACAACGAGTTAAATGTCATGGATCAAAATACAAGAGCGAAAAAACGGAGATTGGACCATTTGTCATGGGAGGAAAAAATACAAAGAAAGTGAGTATTTCATAGAAATATTTAAGCATTTAATATAAAATCAATATTAACTTAATTTATTATTCATCGTCTGTAGTTTACCTGCATATTGATTATTAAATTGTTATTGGCTTTTGCGTTAAACTTAGAATTTGATTTATTCCATATGTTTTCAACATTTTTATCGCGTATATTGTTATCTAAAACCCCCGCCTACCTTTATTCATATTGTTTTTATCTTTCGCGTGATATCCGGCTCGAAGGACCAAGTAAATTACACTGCGTAATACATGCATTCTTTTTTATTGGTTATTAAGGTCAAATTTACCACAAATAATGAGCAAAAGCTTTGTCATTCTATTAATTAAATTATTTGATTACTATACTTAATCAAATTTGATATTATTGACAATTACACAAAATTTAAATACTACTAATTATATATATTTATATGCATATGAATGATGACATACATTTATTTACATATATACTTAAAGGGTTTCCTTTTTTTGCTAAGCATGGTACCTCGCTGATCTTATATAGGATATTTTAAAAACAAGCAAAAATAATTTTTCTTAAAAAAAAAATAAAAATGAACAATTTGTTTCCAATTAAATTAACTATATTCATTAGTACATATATGTATGTAGATAAGCGGAATACCCATGATAAGCCTAAAAAACGGCTGTTATCATCGTAAAAAAATATAACTTTTAATAATCAGCTGTCAAACGCTTATGTTACTAACGAGTGTTTTTGAGAATAAAGCCAGAAAATGATTAAAAAATATAAAAAGAAACCGTGGCTCGATTTGTTGTGTTGTTGGGTGTATTTCAGAGGAAATCCTGGGTTGAGTTTTTATCGGTTTTCCAATAAACAGCGTTAATCTGAATGAAGAAATAAATTGCATACAGTCTCTGTAAATATAAATTGTATCTATTAGATACAATAAATTCATATTTTAGTAATGATTAACGTGAAAAGTGTAAACATTTCAATTCAGTAATAATCGTCTAAATTTAAACAGCATTTAGCATTATTAAAAGCGTTGATTAAGAATTCATTAAAGTCTCCACTCAACGGTAAAATACCATTATATTATGTATTATATATAATATTGTGTTGCCATGAATTCGTAGGTATATTTTGTTGTTTAAAATGCAGTTGTCGGCGTTTTTTAGAGAACTCAAATATAAAAATGTTTGTGAAAAATTATTTTTTACTAATTTCTTAAAAATTTCCAAACTTAAATATAAATTATATTAGGTTAGTTATCATTAGTTAATTCTGCACCAACAAATGTACTTACCGAATTGGATCCTTTGGCAAAACATGAAAATGCAACGATTTAGTTCTTGAATTTTATTTACCTACAATTAAAAACACAATAATTCACCATGATCCCTTTGAAACACACACTAACGTAACTATATAATCATTTAAGCGTTGAGTTTCTTAATCGATGATATAAAGAATAATCAATCGAAATCGAGTACTAAACCAGTTTTTAGTTTTTTCCTTGCAACGTAAAACACAAATAACGTACGCGATTTAGCTGTGCAATTGAACAAAATTTGTCGAGTCGAGCTTTCCTCTCTTTTGCGGTACCAATTCTTAAGAACTGTTTTGCTAGCTATAACATAGTGTTAAAATAAATTAATAAAGAAAATAAATAAATAAAATAAATAAATTTATTTAAAAATGATGTACAGTTCGTATGCTTTAAATGTATTGTTGACAATTCTTAAATTCACGCAATGCTTTTGAAGTCCACCAGATGGCGCACATTCTTTATTAGTACTGTAAGTTCTTATTTATGAATCTAATAGTAATAATAGTAATAGTAATAATAGAGTTTATTGCCCAACAGTTTACACCATAGTAGGACATTCATATAACAAAAAGGTTTACAAAAAAAATATTTAAAAAAAAGTGAACAAACTTATAACTAAACTTTTAATCAGATTTATACATCATTAGAATTTAAAATAGTTTTTAGTGAATAATAATTAATATCACAATTAGTTGATATTTTATTAAAGTTATTAAACATAACATGTAAAGGTATATTGGTACGAGCAATCGGACACTTGAAGGTATGGTTCCCCACACGGAACAATTACATCCAATGGATATCCAATGGATTTCTTTTATGGATATCCAGGATATACATAGGATATCCGGGATATCCAATGGATAACCATTGGATATATAAATGTCCGACCCTCCTGGACATAGTGTGGATATCCAATGGATACCCAGTGGATATAGTATTGTATGCAATAAGGTTGTAATCTGTATTCAATATGGAGATTGTATGGATATCCAATGGATAACCATTGGATATATAAATGTCCGACCCTCCTGGACATAGTGTGGATATCCAATGGATACCCAGTGGATATAGTATTGTATGCAATATGGTTGTCATCTGTATTGGATATGGTGAATCAATGGATATTTACTTTTCAATAAATAACATTGGGTTTTAAAATAAAAGTCTTATTCTTTAATTTAAATATTTATTTTTATGAAAACATAAAATAGAACAGAAAACTACATATAACTAAAGAAGTGCTTGCCATCACTCCTCCAGCTGTCATTTGCCTTTTTATCAGCCTAATCATTTAGGGCCTATTTCACCTGTCTCCTTATGATCCCCAAAATTTGGCCAATCCATCAGCCCATTTGTTTAACATGGCACAATGACTAATGTACCATGCCCACCAACACTGACAGACAGACTGTTTCGACCTGTTGGGTCACTTCAGTGTCAGGCAGTTGGTGCCGAGAGACACGCTTCAAGCCAAGCAACCGCCCACCTATATACTAGTTGGGCGACCTGGACAGCGGCGAGATGCAGCGGCAAGGTAATATGGTGACATTTATCTTCTGTGTTCGCCGGCAGTGTTGTCAGACGTTTAAATAATTTCAGAAAGCTCATCAAAATGGCGGTTATATTATTAAATCTTTAATACTTAATTAATTAGTATACCTAGTATACCTATTTGACATAAATGTGGTGAATAATTATTTTAAATTTATTTAATTTATTTATTAAAACTTAATAAAGTACGGAAATATATTTCGTTTAGTTATTTTGCTTATAACCGGCAACACTGAAGATTCTCAAATTCAGCGCGTGCGTAGTACATATACAATAATAAACAAAAAGGACTTTTTTAAGTAATTTTTTATTGTATTGCAGACTGTCATAGTCATATTATTAACAGAAATAATATTATTAATATATAAATATTATTATCTGGGTAAAGTGAACATTTCAAAATTAAAAATTTCGTAGCTCTTGGCAAAAAATTAATTTAACGTAAAGTCGTTTTTTTACATATGCTAGTTTAAACCATCACAAAATCCCACATGTATACATACAAGTATATATACAAGATATCCATATCAGTTATCCACCGGATATCCAGTGGATATCCAGTGGATATACATTAGATGTACAGTGGATATACTTTGGACATACATTAGTTATCCATTGGATATATATTAGAGATACTTTGTTGAAATTGGGTTAATAACGATTTAAATCATATTTATTAATCATTACATAAATTTATCCTATAAGGGGCTATTTTAAAAAAGAAAAAAATATTTTTAATGTTTTTGTTTTTATTTGAACATCCAGTATGGATATCCATCGGATATCCAGTGGATATCCAGTGGATATACATTAGATGTACAGTGGATATACTTTGGACATACATTAGTTATCCATTGGATATATATTAGAGATACTTTGTTGAAATTGGGTTAATAACGATTTAAATCATATTTATTAATCATTACATAAATTTATCTTATAAGGGGCTATTTTAAAAAAGAAAAAAATATTTTTAATGTTTTTGTTTTTTTTTTGAACATCCAGTATGGATATCCATTGGATATCCAGTGGATATCCAGTGGATATACATTAGATGTACAGTGGATATACTTTGGACATACATTAGTTATCCATTGGATATATATTAGAGATACTTTGTTGAAATTGGGTTAATAACGATTTAAATCATATTTATTAATCATTACATAAATTTATCCTATAAGGGGCTATTTTAAAAAAGAAAAAAATATTTTTAATGTTTTTGTTTTTTTTGAACATCCAGTATGGATATCCATTGGATATCCAATGGATATCGTAAAAGGCATGGATGTTATATGGACATTGGGATAGCCATTGGATATCCATTGGATAGCGTGTTCTGTGTGGGTTCTGGACCAGAACTTCTGGTGACTACTGGTTCTGGGAATCAAAAAATCAATTTGACCTAACAGGTCAGAACAATCTATTTTATAATTTACAAGATTATACAAAAAAGATACTGACAAGATCTTCCTTCTGATGGATAAAGATACAAAATTAACCGAATTTAGCAACAAAGCGTGTTCGTATACGATATATCCTTGCGGGGGATAGAATCCTTGAAATTTAAAAAATAAAAACTTTCAAAAGCGTCTCTGTACAGACTCTATATGATTTATGTGGCAAGCATAAATAGGTGACCAGACCACACTCGCGTATTCCAATTTACTTCGCACTAGAGTAAAATATAGTAAATGCAATGTTTGGGTTGTGTTAAATCCCCTACTGTTTCTAATAATAAAGCCAAGTGTTCTGAAAGCTGATTTGGTAATATCATTGATATGAGAAGCAAACTCAAGTTGGGGATCGAATACCATGCCAAGGTCTTTTAATGACCCATATACAAACATAATAGTCTAACATAGTAATATTTCTTTTAGGAAACTAAAAAACCGCGTTGCAGCCCAAACCTCTCGCGATCGCAAAAAACAAAAAATGGACGAGATGCAGTCAGCGCTGCAGGAACTATTCGAGAAGAACGAAACCATGGCGGAGGAATGCGAGAGGCTGCGCGAAGCGAACAGTCGCTTGACGGAGGAGAACGCAGAGCTGCTTAGTCGACTATCAGCGCCCTGCAACTGCGCAAACGCAAACGTAAACAAACCGGCGACTCGGAGCCGTGCTGGTGAATGTGAGGCCCAGAGTGGATCAGCGGAGTCCCTCCTTCGGCCGAAAGGAACGACCACACATTCAGCAGCGGCTCCGGGTCCGGGCAGTTTGCGGGAGCGACAGAGGGCGCTTTTGCAGACGGCGCTGATCTGCCTTCTCTGCCGGATCTGCTCGACCAGTTCGACGTCGACGAATCCCTCGAAGAGCTCGCGCAATCTCTTCTCCAAGATATCGCCAGAGACCTGGAGGAGGCTGCTAACAGGCAAAACCAAGAGGTAAATGTTTTACATTTATTTTCTTCACTGGTTAACGCGTTTTTTAAATTTAGATTATCTTCTCTTCTCATCATTTTTTAATAAAACTAATATCTTAAGTGAGGCCTGTCAGAGCAAAGTCAACAATCTCCCTTCAGACTAAAACTGAGTAAATTGAGATAATTGATTTTGGTATTTTAAATTCTAGATTTGTAATTTTTTATATATATATTATATTGAAATATTGTTGTTGTTAGTCTAGTAGCCAACTACAAGATCTCCAGGATGCATAGTAGGGTGATTCATTTCCGCAAATATTGTTTTTTTTATAAATTAATGTGTTTTTTTTATATTTATTATAGTCAAAAATCATAATAACTCTGGAAAAGTTATTGTTGTAGAGAATTATATCGATAGTAAATAAGAAAGTTTAATTTAAATAGCATAATTGGTTAAAATTTATCAATTACTAACGTTTTAAGATATAAAAATGGCCGTAAATTAATCAAATATTTGTTAAAAGACTATTTTTTACAATTCAGATCTTTTTTTTCACTATTTTTTGCGAATTGTTAAAAAAAATTGCAAAAAAATGTTCATTCAAAAAATTGAACTTTGATGACTCCTACTGGCAAACCACTACGAGTTACACAAAAAAACACAAAGACAATTTTGAAGAGCGTGAAATTTCCTATAAGGTCCATAAAACCGATTCACAATATTGTAAAGAGCGGGCGAGCATTAGAAATTTGAAAAAAAAAACCATTTTTTTTACATGCATTTTAAATGGGAAAACTTTAAATTTAAACTGCAAGTACTTAAAATTGATATTAAGAGCTCTACCTTGGTGAAATTTTTTTTTTCTATAGGTAGATTAATATTTTGCTTGAGCGCCGAGAAAAAAAAGTTTTTTGCGGAAATGAATCACCCTAATGCATAGTATAGGTGAAATCTATAATTATAAATTGGAGATTGCTGACTTTGATATGAATTGCTGGAGATTGCTCATTTTATTGTAAACGTTTAAGGAGATTTAGAAAAATAAACAAAAAAATAATTGTATTTTCTCCCTTTGATGGTTATAAAATTTAACTATACAATCAATGTGGGAAAATTCTGGACTGGACCACATAAATCTGTTTGAGTTTCTTCTAAATCTGGGACCAGGTTGCCTCGTGCAACATTTTTTTTATAATACAACAACTCATCATCTCCTTCCCACTTTGCCCCGTAATATTTTACTTGCAATGTTTTGACATTATCAACCTTTTCTTGATTTACCTTTTCGTCTTATTATGGTATAATAGCACAAAATAAACAAGATAACTTTTTTATAATTCTTAAAACAATAAAACGTAGATTTACCTATTTTAAATATATATTTTTTAAGTGCAATTTACTGCAATAGAACTTAACTGTACTGTAAAAAAACACAAAATTAAATCTCTAAAATACGTTATAACATCAAATGTTGGGATATCAGGTGACACAAATTACTAATTTCTAATGGTGGAATTGGAGATTGTATACTTTCCTGCAAATCTATCAGTGGAGATTGTCGACTTTGCACTAAATGTCATTTTTATAATAGGATTTTAGGTAGGATTTAGCTCCTTTTGCAGCACATAAACTTTATCATCTTATAGATAATTAGTTGACCAAAAGTGGAAATTGTCTGTTTTGCTATGACAGGCCTCAAGTATAATATATTTGGGCAGAATTTTATAAATCCTAAATAAATTATTTAGATTAAATTGGTAAAGTATTTTTTTTAGTAGACATTTAAAATAAAAACACATATAAAACATTTTACCAAAATAGTTTAAAAAGTTTAATTTTTTGAATCTTAAAACAATGGATAATTAAAAAATATTTTAAATATAAAATGCAAATTGTGCTATGTTGAGATTACCATTTTCTTTTCAAAATTAAAAAAAAACATTAATTGGATTTCTTTCATAAGAATGAATTCAAAAAATACAGATGTTAGAAACACAAACTGTTGCAATAGGAATATTAAAAAAAATAGTTATAATGCACGTTTTTCTGGTTTTATACACTAGATTTTTTTTATTTTAGACGTCTTGAAGCCTTTATTAAAGAAGGGAATACTGTTAAATATTATTGCTGCATAAGGTGACCAAAAAATAATTATAAAAATAACAACACATACTGTATTTGTTCTCTAATCAAGAGCTCACCGTAATATTTTGTTACATTACATCCATCTTTAAAAAATATATACAGGGTGCACCCAGTATCCTTCTAGTGTCAAAACCAAAAATCTTTATAACTTTTTTATTCCTGGTAATTTTAAAACAAAGTAAGTTTCCAATGATTTTTTGTAGTTTTTAAATGCCATTTTAATAGACTTGTAATTAAGCAAATAAAAAAACAATACATAGAAGGATACTTAGTAGGTACCTACACTAGACTTGGCCAAAAAAATCAACTATTTTTTTTTGAAAAGTATATCGAAAATATGGTTTGGGGTGACAAAAAAAAATTATTGTGAAAGTTTGAGTCCATAATATTATTAAAAGGTCTATCATCGTAATTTTAATTTTTTTTCCTCAGCAAGTTTTTATCTCAGAACTCTCAAACTATTGAGTCAAAAATTATTCAAGGTTAAATTTGAAGTCAAAACGAAATTCTTGTTTTTTCCTCTGTAGATTTATTTTTTTATGGGTGATAATTTGATTTTTTTTCTTGTAAATGTGTATTATATAACTAATTAACAATTTCCAATAAAAAAAACCACATGATTGTTATTATTTGAACGATTAAATAGGTAACAGTGAAAATAATATTTTCTAAAGAAAATAGCTTCTTAAAGCGAAAAAACTCTTATGAGTTATTTTTTTTTAATTTTCAGTAATTTTATCAATAACAAGATTATCATCGATAAAAGAATTCAAGTTTTAACTGACCCAAAAAAAAATCTTGAGCGGAAAAAACAAGAATTTCGTTTTGACTTCAAATTTAACCTTGAATAACTTTGGATGGAGTGAATTTAGCCAAAAATGTTAGGAGACTTTTTTTGTAGAGCATTTAATTTCCTATAAGGTACTGAATTTTACATGAATTACAACATTCCAAAGTTAAAAGATCAAATTGTAAAACTATACCAATTTTTAAGGCATGATTGTAAGAAAATGGTTCATCTGACGGGAAATTCCAATCAAACCTTTTTCGTAGAACATTAAATTTTCTTCAAAAAATATTCTTAAGTCAATTTAGTTAAACTCAATGGTTTGGGAGTTCTGAGACAAAAACTCGCTCAGGAAAAAAAATCTAAAATTGCGATGATAGACCTCTGAATATTAATATTATAGACTTAAACTTTCACCATAATTTTTTTTCGTCACCCCAAACAATATTTTCTATATAGTCGATTTTTTGGCCCAGTCCAAGGTACACACTGTATAAACAAATATAGTTGATTTTAACAAAGGATGTAAGATTTTTGTGCTTTTCCACGTTGTTTGTCTAAATAAGGCACTATAAGAGTAAATTTTATCCCAAATTTAACCTGTGTATTTTTTAAGGAACCCGTCTCCGATAAACAACGTAATAATCGGGAAATGGTGGGGTCGCCATCAGAAAAACTGGAATCCTGTGGAAGCGCACTAGAAGATGTATCGTCGGACGACGACGACATCTCGAAATACCTGCTGCTTCATCACAACTACAGTCTGAAACCAAAAAAGAACGCGCCCAAAAAATCGACGAAACCAAAATACAAAAAAATCGTTCCGAAAGTGGAGCAGCCCCATCTGCAAGTCATCACCATGGACCCTGCCAAAGTGACAGCCACTCTTACAGACGACAACGAGGTGGTTTATTACGCCTTCGACGAAATCACGAACTCTCTCACCGTTTTCTCTGCGGAAGACGCAGAAGTCGAAGTGGTCAACTGCGAGGAGGCGGATGTTTCCTCCGCCGCCTCGGATTACGGATACGAATCGCACGGGTCTCCGGATCATATCAGCGAAGTCGAAGATATTTGGGATAAGAGTATATCCGAATTGTTTCCGACTTTAGCCTGAGTTTCGTAGAGAGTCGTTTGTAAGTTTAGCTGTTAAGGATATTTATTTTTGTATTTTGTTTTTTATGAGATTAATAATAAAATTGTGTTAAGTGGCATAAAATTTGTTTTATTGCAAAATACCAGATTTCCCTACAGTGAACAAGCCTTGGGATAAGTTCGTCATGATTCTCTACAGTTGATCCCAATTTTCCGGTTTGTTGAGAAAAACACTTCCCTTGAGATAACCCCACAGATAAAAGTCACAAGGGGATAAGTCAGGTGAACGTGCCAGCCATTTGAGAGGCATATAATATAATAATATATTATATAAAAAGTTTTTCAAAAAAATTGTTTTTTTATTTTCAAATAGCCATAACTTTTTCAAAAATTGACATTTTGGTATCTTTTTTTTTAAATTTTTGGTTTTAAATGAATTTTTCAAAAAAATGGACAAAAAAAATTTTACATGACCAACTCTATGAAATTATCGCTTTTTTTAATAAAATCGTTATTTTTGCAAAGTTCGCCATTTTTTATTTTTTTATCTCAAAAAAAACTACAATTATTCCCGCCAATCCCAGAGTGGGCCGATTTTTTTTTTATTTTTTTTTATTTAATTGAAAAAAAAATTTTCTAATTTTCAAAAATGAAATTTTTGTTTTTTTCACAAACTTTATTTATATAATAAAATAAATGCAATTCAACGATTTGAAGGTATTATATTCTCAATTTATAGGATTAAGCTAATATTATACATTTTTGAAAATTAGACAATTTTTTTTCAATTAAATAAAAAAAATAGAAAAAAAATTGGCCCACTTTGGGGTTGGCGAAATTAATTGTAACATTACTTAATTGATTTTTTTTTGAGAAAAAAAAATAATAAAAAATGGCGAACTTCGCAAAAATAACGATTTTATTAAAAAAAAGAGATAATTTCATAGAGATGATCATGTTAAATTTTTGTTGTCTATTTTTTCGAAAAAGTCATTTAAAAAAAAATTTCAAAAAAAAAGATCCCTAAAGGTCAATTCTTGAAAAAGTTAAGGCTATTTGAAAATAAAAAAACTATTTTTCAAAAATGTTTTTCAAAGGGTAGAAAAGAATGGAAAACTTTTGGCCAGATCGAAAGGGGGCGGGTTCAAAAGTGGTCGATTTGGTATGGAATACCCCATATACATGTATACTGCAGTATGCTACAATATCGTATGAATGGTAAGCACCAAAAGGGTGTAAAAAGTTTCAGCTCTTTTGGTTGGTTGAAAGTAGGTTAAAGTTTTTCTTTTATTCGGAATTTGACAACGTCAAAAATTTGGGGGTTAAGTTCATATTTTTGTTTTTGTAGAAAATATATTTTCTTACGTAAATAAAATTTGCGTGTTTAGAAAAAATGTTACAGCGTTAAATATGAGTAACAGAAAACAGAAAAAAATTTATGATTTATCAATTTTTCCTTGTTTTTACTATATCTATTTTGCGTTCATAATGACTTCATTATAACACCGCTTTCGGTGCTGTAATGAGATACTTTATCCCATCCAAAATTTTGATTTTATAGGTTGGCTATACTTTAAACAGCATAATATTTTGCATATTGGTTATAATATTTTTATGATTTTTATAATACTTTTCTGGCAATAAATTTTGTTTAACACCAAAGAATTTTTTTTTGTCTTCTTTAACATTAACAGCCGCTTATAGTAAATAAGTAAATTAAGGACGGCATGGCGAATCGATTTTGACATTAACTGTCAAACCAATGACTGTGATACCAACTATCTAAAGTAAAATTCGACCAAATTAAATTTAAGGTATATTTTTTATAGAATTTTTGCAAAATAGATAAAATAGCATAAAGAACTCATGTCATAAAACCTTTTGTCATTGACATTAGTTCTTTAATATACTATTTAAAATTTCGTTCTAAAACTTTTAATGTCAAAAATTTGTCGTCCAGAAACCACTAAAGTTCTTTACTAATGATATTCCTCTTCCATGCAGGTCTTTCTCAGGAATGTTTTGGAGGCGGGATTACAGTAATTAAAATAAAACATTTGTTTACAACATTTTGAATACATTTATTAAAACTTATAAATAGTTGTACACATATCCCTAAATCTAGGAAATATTGCATTTACCTACTATATAGTTTAAAACTTAAAAAATATATTGGAACCGATAAAAAAGTTCATAAACAATTTAAAACTGCTTAGTTTCGACGAGTAGTTATAGTTTTGGTCCTTTAAATGAATTTGAAGGTACATGGAAGAGATTCCTATTTATGAACGATTTTCTAAACACATATTATTTAACTTGTTCTAATAACATTCAATTTTTCGTAAAACAATTAAAGCTTCCTCGCTATAAATATAGGTACTATCAACAAAATCTGAATATAAATATTTAACAAATATGTAGAGTAAAGTAGCCGTATGTGGAATACTGCCCATAATGTGGTATACCTCCTTTGCGGCAAAACTAATAGCGCCATTTATCTTCTAATACGCTAATCAGAAACTCTTTCTATTATGTTTCACCCCTAGCAACACCATAGAGCATTTCGCGGCTGTCGCTTGCCAATATTGGTTTAAAACGAATTGTAACGGTCGCTACATTTTTGCACGTGTTTATATAAACATCTATTGTGACTCCATTTATAGAAATTTTTGCAAGATTGGTGTATAAGCGTAAAGGTAGGTAGGTGGATGATTGTGAAATGTGTAAATATTTCATTAATATTTTGTTTTTAATGTTTTACAAACATTGTTTACAAATATTTAAAAAGTCGCTATTGTGGAATACGAATTACGGTCTGAATGTGAAATATTCCACATTAGAGGCTTTTCGTATTTTATAATGGAATAAATAAATGTATGTTATTTTCCAATAATCTTTTGCTTTAGGTACTTAAAAAAAAAACAATTATTTTAATATCAAGTCCGATATTAAACCCATTCCACATTAGCGTATATTGGTATTCCACATTAGCGTATATTGGTATTCCACATTACCCACCCATTTTTCAGCTAGAAAAAAAGTGCATTTTTTTTTTAAAGTTATTTTTTATACATATTTTTTTTCTATAATTTTTATTATTTCTGTTTTTTGTTTGCAACACTTCCCGCTATCTATATTCCAAAATGTGCATAATAATTTTAAAGTTTTCATTTTTATTTTTCAAAAAAACAAAACAGTATTCCACAATCGGCTACTTTACTCTATAATATATAATCTAATAGTAATAGTCTCAAATAAATCTCAAAATAGATTAATTAGCACACAGAATAAAGAGTATTTGATTATCGTTAGTTTTTAATATTGAAAAAGTTTGAGCTTGACTGTACAGTATTAATTTTATTAATATTACCGATAAAAATTTAAAAATAGATAATATTCATTACTGCGCAAAAGCACAGGTTATGTAAATACTGCTAAACAGCTAAAACGAAGATTGTCTATCTTTAACAAATCTTTAATCAAAGTCAAAATTTCCTACGACTTGGCTACGTTTAACACGATTATATTAACCACTACGTTACGTTAGTTTGGCATAATTTTAATAGCTATTTTACGTTTTGGGCAGCAAAAATGCGTTTTAGTTTCCAAGATGTTAAATAATAAGTCAACCCCAGTTAATGTTAGTCCGACCATGCTACAGTAAGTATAAAAATGTAAAGAGTTAATAATATCACTCTTATTAATCAAGATTGCCGTTTCGACGCCATTTTGTGACGTCACTAGTTTGACAGATGTCACGCGTAATGCCAACATAATAGATTAAAATAGGTTTGTTCCTGCAGAGTGTTTTGACTGTCGTCCATTGGCATGGTGTGTGTATAGTCAGCTTAAATAGGGCGAATGATTAAATTTACAAGATGTCGAATGCTTTTGAAGTAACTTTATTAATTTACGGATGTAGTGCGATGATCTGTACATCGAATTTATTTAGTTTGGTTGTTTAGAAGCGTTCGGGTTCTTGCTGTGCGTTAATATCCGAGACTTTGGCGCTTGAAAGCGCGCTTTCCTATGATCTCGCAGACACGCACACTCTGGGGCTGGATTTTGAGTGGGGGTTACGCACTCCGACCGATACGATGATGCCCGTTGCGATTATGCACACCCCCAATATGTTGATGATCAGAGACTCGCCTCTCAAGTTCCAATAACTCTCCCTGAAATCGCTTTATTAGTAAATAAACTTACTTGTTATGCCATGCCATGCAATGATAAACAAAAACAGAAGCCACACTCTGTGTTAGAAAGTTGTAGTGCAGATTATTACAGAGGCTGTGTTGCGACTAGGGTTTAAAAATGCAACAAAAAACGGAAATACAAAAAAAAAATTCTACTAGCGTGCGCAAAGTAACACTTTTCCGCACGCATTTGCATTTAAAATGTACTATGCTCCACAACTCAAAGTCCCACCACGTGACCACGTACGGAACGCAGTCTTTTGAAAATTTGGCATTTAAGGCATTTCAGGTTATGTATCTTTCAAAGTATAGTCAATGAAAAAAATAATATTTATAGTGTTATGTTTAAGCGTTAAAAGTTAATAAATCTTTATAGTATCACAATAACAATGATTGGTTTAGGAATTTAGGAATATAAATACTGCATTTAATAAAATTGTAAAGTGTATGGTGCCAAATAAGTGATATTTTTGTTCATTTGGTCTACATTTCTCCATAAAATAGTTTTAACTAAACCACATTTATTAAAAAAACTTCTCTATTATGGAATAAGAATATCTGTATCAAAGGTAGGTTAATGTATTACAACAAAAAATATCATCTAATTTTGTATTTTAAGGTTAGAAAAATCTATTTTGACCAAAATAAATAAGTGGATTATTTGGAAGAGTGTGTTAATATGGTCATAAATAAATATAGGTATACTAAATAATTGTTAAATATGGTTCAAATTAAATTGAAGCTTTTATACTTCTAATGACAAAACTTGTGCATACCTCTCGGCATACCCACTTTAAGTTAGATTATAAGAAATCAAACAATTTTTAGAGAAACTTGCAATGTGATAATATTTAATACTTCCATGACATGTGATTTATTAAAATTTTTAAAGTTATAATGATTTTTTGATGTAGATCAAATTCAGTTGAAGCTTTTTAACTATTTGTATTGACAAAACTTTATGTAGGTACACTTTAAGCTGGATAAGAAAAACTACCACATTTTTTAATACCATATTATACAGACTTTAAAATAATCCAAAATACTTATTTATTTTGGTCAAAATAAATTTTTCTAACCTTAAAATTTCAAAATTAGATGATATTTTTGTTATAATATATTAACCTACCTTTAATACAGATATTCTTATTCCATAATAGAGAAGCTAGATTTTTTTAAATAAATGCTGTTAAAATTATTTTATGGAGAAAACAAGATATTTGGACCAAATGCACAAAAATATTACTTATTTGGCACCATACACTTTAGAATTTCATTAAATGCAGTATTTATATTCTTAAATTCTTAAACCATCCATTGTTATTGTAATGTTATAAAGATTTATACATTTTTAAAGCCTAAACAATTTTCCCGCACTTGCAGTAGCGTGCGGAAAAATGTAACTTTACGAACTTATTGGGAAAATAACAATTTTTCTTTTTTTTACAGGCCTTAAGAAAAATAATTTTTTTTGGGCAAAAATACAGATTTTAATAAATAGCAATAAACAACCTGACATTATTTTAATTTAAAAAAATATCCTTTATCACAGAAAAAAAACAAATAAAACTAAACGATGAATTATCGTAAACGTTAAATATACTGTCGGTTGGGTCCTTTTTGCAAAACGGGGTTGATTAAAAAGTTTGATAATTTTCAGAAAAATTTACTTTTGAATTTTTTCGTATTACCTTTAGAAAAAAAATAAAAATAAATTTTTCTGAAAATTTCCCAATGTTCCGATTTTTTCGGAAATTTTAAAACCCTAGTTGCGACGTTGCCACCTTACCGTTTATAGTATTTCTTAACAAATTGCAAGTTTGCTACATTTCCATTTGTTCTAAATTCATGCATTTGAAGGGTAATAGGGTAGAATTATGCAAGCTCAATATTTTTTAAAACAATAATTAATATATTTACATAACTTGTCACAATATTATATGGTGAAGTAAAAATATAACTCTATAAACAATTAATTAAATTGTTTTTTTGTTTTAAAATAATATAAATCTAGACATGCACTCATACACTAACTAACATAAGCGATTTAAAAATAGGGGAAGCTTACATTTACAAAAATAAACATTTGTTAAAAATTAACACAAAACCAGAAAAATATTTAATAATCAATCAATCAATCAATATTTTTCTAGTTGTGATTTCAACTTTAATTCTATTAAATATAAAAATATATCTTCTTTTTTTGAGTACCAAAAATGTACCAAATAAATATAATCTCGAAGTATTATTATTAACATTTTTTGTTACTATGGACGGAAACCACAAAAATCATGAAAATAAAACATACAAAATTTTCAGTTTTTCAGTTTTTAACACATAAACATATAATGGTGAACGATTCCTATATATCTCCCGATCTGATCAAAACGTGTGCCCTGAATCGGAACTCGTCCCTCTGCAATACGTAACCTACAAGAATGGCCAAGGCAACCAAAGCTATGCCTATTGTGTTTACTACAATCGCCTCTTCTCCCAGTTGAGAATAACGTTGACTATTATGAAAAAAAAGTGAAAACATAGCAATTAGCAACAAGACAAAACACAGATCTTAAGAAAAAACACGAAATACACAAAAGTCTATACTATTGAAATATAACCGCAATTTTTTTTTTACCACCATAGAGCTTCAGTTTATAAATAATAGATGGCGCCTTTATCATAATTCTTAGCGTGATTCTACAAAAAATGGACAATTTTAATGTATTTTTTCAAAAGCACGTTTGTAGAAAAACATAACTCCTGCATTAAATATTTGAGTGATTTTATTTTAAAATATATTCAATTTATCTTAAATTTTTCAATTTCACTACAAACTATAAAACATTAAATAATGTATTTTTCATATTTTATCATAGATTCGAATTTTAAAAAATTGATAATCTTTGTACTCACTTTTACCCGTCAGTTCTGTGTCCAACGTTAAAATTCAAAATTCCTGCGAAATATTGAAGTTTAAACGTCAAGTCCTCGTTTTAACTCAAGTGATGGTAAAAAAATTACCTACAGAGCCCGCCCTTTGCACGAAAATGAAAACAATGCAAGCGGCGAAGTTGTGGTGAATGCACGTAAAGTTCCAGTCAAAAATTCATTACTGTGGTGAGTAGTTATTTTCTTACGTATAAATATTTCATTGTAATTCATATAAGGCTATATGTGATTTGTTGATAAGTAGCATCCACTAATAAAAAATATCATTAAAATACTTAATTCCGAATTATAATCTCAAATTTGTATCCCATTCATCAGTACCGTGTCGTCAGTTCCATGTTCGATGTTTCGGTTATATTTTTTTCGCAAACTTCAATTTAAATTCTGCTTGCGCAAAACTTGTTTATTTAATGTCATTATAAACTCATATAAATTTGGTGTGGGTCCCATATCTAATAATTGAGATATCGGTATACCCAAAATCCACCAGCCGCCACTGATGTGTGGTATTATTTGATTTTAAGATATTTAATGTATAATATGCTCAAAGTTGCAATAAATCTTATATTTTCCAATAAATTATGTTTTTAATTGGTACCCTGGTATACTCGCCACTTCCCTTGCATTCAAATTTTGAAAACACAGATATTTCAGAAACTGTTTGAAAAAGTGACTGGCCCGGTCTGGAACAGTATATTTATTATATTATCTATGTTCTCATAACAAAATACTGTTTAATTTTCTTCGAAAACTATATAAACAAAATGAGGTCAAAAGTTGCCCAGCTTTTGTAGAATCACCCATGTAATACTTATTTATTTATTATGATTCTTACGTTTTAAGTTTTTACCTGAATACCTTTTTGACTTGTCGGGGAAACTTTTTAAAGCTAAAATAAAGAGAATTTGTTATATGGGGAATAATATTTAATATTTGAAACCATTTTTTTGACGTTTATTTTTCTACTTAATTTTATTAAATGTTCGAAAACTGTCTTAAAATGCTTTTTCACTTGTACAATGGTTAACCATAAAATACCATGGTATCCCAAAATTTAACAGCCTTATGTAAAATTGTCCCCTGAATCCGAAAATACCGTCAAAAATTATAAAAGTATAGCAGTTTTTGAAATATAGTCAATTCCATATTAAATGGAAAATTGACTAAATCTCAAAAACTGTTCTATACTTTTTTAACTTTTGACATTTTAGAATTTAGGGGACAATTTTACATAAGAATTGCATGTTAAATTTTGGAATACCCTGGTAATCCATGGTTAACCATGGTACAAGTAAAACAGTAGCTACTAATAACTATTAAATTAGTCATTTTTGACTAATTCATTTTTAGAGAGTTGGCAAATTTAAAAATAGGCCACCAAATATTCTCAACACGGCATTGATATACAATAATGTGTAAGAGAAGAAAAAATGTCATTAAACTGTCTAAAAATGTCCTAAGACCCTAAGCAATGGGTTTTTTGAAACTGAAAAATGTTGAAAAATAATCGTCAAAAAAAAACAATGGGAGTTGTTGGGCGATTTTCGGTGCACCCTGTACTTTCGTCATATTTAAATAGTATAGAACAACACAGGCTATAGCAAAATGCAAAATCAGGCACATCTAAAAATGCAATGAAAACAAAAATTTATGTACTTAATAACATTAGGAAAAAACGAACAAAAAGTACCTCTTGCAAGCGTGATATTACATCATTCCTTTTTGCTGATAGATAAGGCTCATTAATATATTTAAAGCTATTAGTTATACAAGAAAACTGAATATTTATTAGTTAAAGTGGCCTTGGCATTTTTTGGTTTGCCTTGTTTTTCAGAAGAAAGTGCATTCTACAAGTAGTTAGATTTTACTAAGTAATAATACGCGAAGCAAGATTAAAAGTGATCTTAAAACATAAATTATTTTAATGTCACTGTACAAAATATTTAATGATTTAATGTTCTGATGACTTAATAAACACATTAATAAACAAGCTATGATCACATTAAATGAAACATACGCCATGAGAATGTTAATATTATAACCAGTACATAAACATTTGTTTTTTGTTTGTTTTATGGTGCAAAATTTTTTTTTGTACTTACGAGAGAGAAAAATTGACTTTTTCAGTCAGGCCTGATACACAGGTGGCGACAGCTAGCATGAACGTCGTAAGCCCGAATGAGGCGTGAATGGGCACCAATGCGGCTCTGAAGCCAGCTGTAGCTCCCTCGCAGCATAGCAGAACCAAAAAGCTGAAGAATCCAATTACATACTAAAAAAAAAGATTTTGTAGTATTTTTTAGTATTTTTGTGTAATTATGTCTGATTACATACACGGAAAAAATGTTATATCCTATTTAAATGAAAATACACTCACGTGCAAAATAATCGATCCACACAAATTTTCGATGAATTTCAATCGCAATAACTTTTTTATTTGATGTCGGATTTAAACGAATATTAAAGAATATTGTAGATAAATTAATGGACAATCGCTCACATTTTAAAAAAATACTAAAAAATAGACGTACGTTTATAATATACAGGTTTAAACAAAAAGATGTTTTTTACTATAAGTTTAAGACACTCTGTAGAGTGGCAAAACCGTATATTGTTCTAAATTAAGTTTTATTTATCAAGTCACATCTATTCTTAACAGTTTTGTTTTTGGTTCACCTCGATGTATTTATTTTTGTGGAAAATATGGATTTTTTTAAAAAACATTGCAATTTCCAATATTTTTCCTATATGAAGAGCTAAGTTTGCTATGGTCCATCCATAGCCTGTGGAGAATACAGTGACAGTTTTGTTCAATCATCCCATACTTGGACATGTCATATACAGCTTTCAAAAGCTATCAAATTGTTTTTTGTAAATTAATGTGTTAATTTTGAGGTGTTTTCTTACTTTTAAAAATGTCTCCGACTGATGTTGCCCTTTGTATTTTACTTCTTATGACGTTTAAAACATTTGCCACGTAATACTGTGACCGTCCATCCTGGATTAAATTAATAGCTCTGGCAACATCAGTCGGAGACATATCCATTTTATAAAGTAAGAAGACACCTCAAAATTTAAACATTAATTTGCAAAAAACAATTTGATACCTTTGAAGGCCGTGTATGACATGTCCAAGTATGGGATGATTCAACAAAACTGTCACTGTCATTCTCCATAGCCTATGGATGGACCATAGCAACCTTAGTTCTTCATACAGAAAAATATTGGAAATTGCAATGTTTTTTAAAAAAATCCATATTTTCCACAAAAATAAACATATCGAGGTAAACCGAAAACAAAACTGTTAAGAATAGATGTGACTTGAAAAATACAAATTAAATTAGAACAATATACTGTTTTGCCACTCTACAGAGTGTCTTAAACTTATGGTAAAAAACATATTTTTGTTTAAACCTGTATATTATAAACGTACGTCTATTTTTTATTATTTTTTTAAAATGTGAGCGATTGTCCATTAATTTATCTACAATATTCATTAATATTCGTTTAAATCCGACATCAAATTAAAAAGTTATTTGCGATTGAAATTCATCGAAAATTTGTGTGGATCGATTATTTTGCACGTGAGTGTATAAAAATCATAAGAAATTAATAATTTCCTTTATAGAAACTCGGAATATTATAAAAATTGTAAAATTTTTAAAACACGCACAAAAATTATTATAAAAAATTAAACATAAAACAAATTAGTTATTAAAAAAAATACTTAGATATAAAATATTTTTTAAATATGGTGAATGCTCCCGAATGATATTTTTAACCCGTGGGGTTTTTATTGCCCACTCCACATGTTTTGGCTGAATGTATATGTAAATATATGCATGTTGTTTAGGTAGTAGAGCAAAGGTAAAATAAACGATTTAATTTAACATTACCGAAGATTGTAACATCTATGCATCTTGTTTATATAAGCGTTCATTGGTTCGGCTTTGAATTGCGTAATTTTATTTTGGTCCAAACAGGTTCTCTCAATCACGAAAAGCGAAACGAAATTGTACACTATGCGCAATAAACAAAGCCCTAAGGCCCCTTAAAGCGCCGTCTATGAAACAACAGGGGAAACTGTCAAATGTCCCATTTTTACATTTTATAAACACAATTATAAAGGTTATAAATCGAAATGTATATTGAAAGTTGACAGTTTTTCACAGTGAAAGTAAAGGAAATGTTTTATGAGGACTTTACAGTAGAGTCCGTGCCTGAATTTAAGTTATAGTTTACTGCCGGCGAAATTAAAAGGTCAGTACAATGTTCATATAAACTTTTCAAATATTGGCGTTGAGAAACTATTTAATATTTTTGTATTTTTGTATTGAGATAATAAAATAATTTTCACATTTAGTATTATTTTACAAGAAAGGCACTTTATTTTAACGATTGTATGACATTTGACAACTGTCAACTAACTTAAAACTAACTTCAGCCCGTAACTAAAGCGCCGTAAAGCCACAACTTGTCAATGTGTATTTAAAAGGTCACTTAGTGTCATGGAAACATGTACGATAAAGGGCGTTTTAAAGGTGGGAGTAGAAAAAAAATTTCTGTTTTATTTTAGCACCAAGACGTATGATAAGAAAATCATTGTGATATGATATTGATATTTGGGAGCAAACTCACGGTTATGTTGTGCCTTTGTTTTAATTACATTATATTAAATGTAGTTACCATAATATTTTATATAAAAAAGCATGTCAATGTTTGTTTTGTACACATATTTCGTAGACCTTGTTTTTTAAAACCACAAACTGTCTTAGTGGAACAAAATATAAAAAACCAATAAAGTTTTTTATTTGATAACCTTAAAATAGTTTTTGATCCGTTAATTTGTGTTTTTTCGACTTTTTTATATTAGATTGTGTTATATTTTTATGAATATTTATGCATATTATATATAAGTATATTTTTATACTTTTCTACTTCAATCATTTTATACGACTTTCTTTATTTGTAATTTTTAATGATTTTCTGTACTTTACATATTTCGTAGACCTTGTTTTTTTAAACCACAAACTGTGGAACAAAATATAAAAAACCAATAAAGTTTTTTATTTGATAACCTTAAAATAGTTTTTGATCCGTTAATTTGTGTTTTTTTTACTTTTTTATTTTAGATTGTGTTATATTTTTATGAATATTTATGCATTTTATACGATTTTCTTTATTTGTAATTTTTAATGATTTTCTGATCTTTAAAACAGTAAAGGATTAGATTAGATTAGGTTCTTATTAGTTACTAAATTGTTCAGTTTTATATTTTCTTATTATGATTGTTTTTTAATAACTTTTATCTACTCCTACATTGACGAGCTGTGACTTTATGGCGTTTTATTGACGGGCTGAAGTTAACAACAGTGGCTTTTCGACATTTTACGCCACGGGCTGAAGTTAGCTTTATTATAAATTGGGAAAAAGTGAGGTTAAATTAGGGTGACAGTTGACAGATGTCAAAATTTTAACAAAAAAAATTGGCTTTAAATTCTGTTTTGTGTTCGTCGTAGATAAAGTACAGTATGCAACTCGTTTATAAACTTATCTAGACACTCGTTTTTATTAAACACTCGCTCGCAAGCTTCGCTCGTGCTTAATTAAACTCGTAACTAAAATGGCATTTATAAAACTTGATACATAATATACTATTAACACCAAAGAAAATCCTTTTTTTCTTCTTTAAAATTAACAGCCGCTTATTGTAAATAAGTAAATTAAGGACGGCATGGCGAATCGATTTTGACATTAACTGTCAAACAAATGACTGTGATACCAACTATCTAAAGTAAAATTCGACCCAATTAAATTTAAGGTACAAAATAAATTTTAATTTTAAAGTTGTGCTATTTTTTCTGTATAAACCCACTTTTAGAGATCTGCACGGCACTGCCCCCCACGCCCATTCTGCATCGTGATTACTAACCGCGCACACCTGCTTTAACATATCACGACCTATCCCGTCTTAACCGACAACAATTATCTACACGCCATTAAATTATTCCACTACTTCACTCTCCAAAACATTCTTCCAATTCAGAAATACCTGCTCTTGTATTTCAATGGTTTATGTTAATTTATCAAAAGCGTGATTTATAGATTGCCTTCCTTCCTTCCTTCCTCCCGTAAAAGATGAACAATACGAAAATCGTAGTGCCGTTTATAGATTTCCGTACGGGGTCAATCTTTCTAAAACTTTGTAAATGTCTTCTTAGTAGACTCTTAAGTAGCAAATTTAAAATAACGTATATAAACATTCTCTAAATTAGCCTCAATCATTCAATTTAGTGATGTATGTTAAGTAACAAAGAAATGCCATGGTGTTGTGATGATTTTATTTTATAATAGTTTAAAGATCGTTTTATAAAAAAAGTAAATTAAACATATCCAAAGCAATCGAATCAAATATAAAATATTATTAAAAATTAAAATAAATAATTTTTATGACCATTTATGTAGGTGTTACAAAAATTGATCCTATCCTCCGTGAATCTGTTTTTGCTTTAAATTTTATGCAACGGATGGCGCTTTAATCATTTTAAATAAGCAAAAACAGCGGTTTACGACATTATAGATGCATGTGATTCCTGAAGGTCAGTTAGAATTTATATGCAGATGAGAGTGTTGCTGTTTTATAATTCAAAAGTTTAAGTTCATTAATTTGCTATTTAAAAACCTATCCACCGTGAAGTGTAATACCTCACTAAGTAGATTTTTTTTATAAATATTTTATGTATGTACAATTCTATTCTATAAATTCTATAAAAAATATTAAGGTGTTAAAAGATACAATAACTTATTTCAAATATACAAAGGGATATTTTTTAATAAAATACGAAATCCTAACCTCCGTGAAGTTCTAATATTCAAAATGTATAATTTCTTGCATTAGTGCAGAACCACTTATGTTATGTTATTAATAGACCTGGTGGCTTCCCAAAAAACCCATTCTAGACTAACAGTGAAACAACCAAAAATAAAAAATAATCATTTTCACTTGGGGGATATTCACCCATTTATAAACAAAAATTGTGGAAAACCATTAGAAAAAGAATGTAAAAAATATGAAAAATTATAAAGTCTTGATTTAAAAAAAATAGTGCAAATAACAATCACACCAATTAAAAAAATCGCAAGAAAATGTACACACTTATTTCATTTAAGAAGTTTAAAAAAATAATGACGGTTACCTGTATTGCGAACAGACCCATGGTGACTAGACCAACCCAGCTGTGTATCGAGTAGAAATTTGGCATCGTGGGCCTGGCCATGTTGTGGAAATCCAGGACGGCAATGAAACCGACTGCAACACACGGAATGGCCAAAGCGTGAAAAATGGCGTGCAAAAGTTTCACGTAGATTTTTCGACAGCATCTGCATATTCTGTAAAGAAGTATGGCTGGAAAGAAAAAATACATAAAATTTACACTTTGAAAAAAGTACTTCTTAAAATAGCTACTTATTAATATTATATTATTATATTTTTTTTAAGTGGTACTTTAGTTTAGTATAAGTTTTTGACAAAAAATAATCATCATCGTGTTCTTTTTATGAAGTTGGTAGCTTATGCCAGTTTGATTTAATATTTTTAGTTTTTAAAAAATGGTACTATGCATAGCATGCTCCACACCTCAAAGTCCCACCACGTGACCACGTACGGAACGCAGTCTTTTGAAAATTTGGCATTCAAGGCTTTTCAGGTTATGTATCTGTCAAAGTATAGTCAATGAAAGAAATAATATTTATAGTGTTACCGCTTATGTTTAAGCGTTAAAAGTTAATAAATCTTTATAGTATCACAATAACAATGGTTGGTTTAAGAATTTAGGAATATAAATACTACATTTAATGAAATTCCAAAGTGTAAGGTGCAATATAAATGATATTTTTGTGCATTGGATCTACATTTCTCCATAAAATAGTTTTAACTAAACAGCATTTATTAAATCTAGCTTCTCTATTATGGAATAAGAATATTTGTTTTAATGTTGGTTAATATATTATAACAAAAAATATTATCTAATTTTAAGGTTAGAAAAATCTATTTTGACCAAAATAAATAAGTGGATTATTTGGAAGAGTGCGTTAATATGGTTCAAATTAAATTGAAGCTTTTATACTTCTAATGACAAAACTTGTGCATACCTCTCGGCATACCTACTTTAAGTAAAATTATAAGAAAACAAACAATTTTTAGAGAAACTTGCAATGTGAAAATATTTAATACTCTCATGACTTGTGATTTATTAAAATTTTTAAAGTTATAATGATTTTTTGATGTAGATCAAGTTCAGTCGAAGCTATTTAACTATTTGTATTGACAAAACTTTATGTAGGTACACTTTAAGCTGGATAAGAAAAACTACCACATTTTTAAATACCATATTATTCAGTATTTTAAATAATCCAAATAATTTTTTTTAATTTTAAAATTACAAAATTAGATAATATTTTTGTTATAATATATTAACCTACCTTTAAAACAGATATTCTTATTCCATAATAAAGAAGCTAGATTTTTTTAATAAATGCTGTTTAGTTTAGAAAACCAGATATTTGGACCAAATGCACAAAAATATTACTTATTTGGCACCATACACATTAGAATTTCATTAAATTCAGTATTTATATTCTTAAATTCTTAAACCATCCATTGTTATTGTAATGTTATAAAGATTTATACATTTTTAACGCCTAAACATTTTTATAATATTTAACTACTTTTTTATATGATAACCTAAAATAATTTAAAAATAAGCTACACGTCTAATTTCCAAATTAACAATAGAAATGTTAAAAAACCTAATAATATATGTAAAAAAAACGGTAACTTTTTTCAAACGTTCTAATCCCAGAGTGCGATTAAACGGATTTGCCTAATCTAGTTTGATTTAATCTGAATAATTTCTGCTTAACCAGAAACAATCCACGTTACGCCTGCAAAATCTATGCATACATAAAATTGTTGCAGAACAGTTCTCATGAATACAATCCCGGAAATTTACACGTGATTATATTACTAGTTTCAAACAGTTTTTAACGAGGATTCTCTAACAATGGATATCAAGGGTTTATTCAAAATTCACGCATTAATGTACATGTCCTGATTCATCAACACAAAAGCTAAGGAAGGATTTTTTATCCCATCAAAATTAAAATAAATAATCCCGGCGCATTCGCCATTTTTAAAATTGTTTAACGGCTGAACGGATTTTGATCAAATTTGGCCTTGGAACGAGACGGGAATAGGGCGAAATTGAAAAAAAAAATTAATAAAAGCATATTTTTATATACAGCTAGTTTAAGATATTTTTAAAGCAGATATTATATATTTTGTTCGTTTAAAATCAATTACCAAGCTTTCACAAAGAAATCTATTTTAGTTGACAATACAATGATTGGCAGAAACAAATTGCTAAAACGTGGCATTAAAAACATTTTTATTGCTAACTGAAAGTAATTTATAAAATATTGTGTTTATAAAATTTATCTACACTTGAAAAATATTTTTTTAAACTTTAGGTAAACATATTTTTAAGCATGTTAAAGCATTTCGTAATGTTTATGTAAACTGAGTGGCTTTTACACCCTTAAAAGTAATAACCGAGTTAACAGTATAATTAGAGACTTTATATTAAATTTTAAACCTCGTACAAATTTATTACACACACTTTACAGCTAACGAGCGCTTACATTTAAAATTATAAATAACTTTTCATAACTATTTCTTTTTCCAAGTTATTAATAATTTTTATACATTTTGCGTTAATAATGACTTCATTATAACACCGCTTCGGTGCTGTAATGAGATACTTTATTCCACCCAAAATTTTGATTTTATAGGTTGGCTATACTTTAAACAGCATAATATTTTGCATATTGGTTATAATACTTTTATAATTTTTCTAGTACTTACAATACTTTTCTGGCAATAAATTTTGTTTAACACCAAAGAAAATCCTTTTTTTTTCTTTAACATTATCAGCCGCTTATTGTAAATAAGTAAATTAAGGACGGCATGGCGAATCGATTTTGACATTAACTGTCAAACCAATGACTGTGATACAAACTATCTAAAGTAAAATTCGACCAAATTAAATTTAACGTATAAAATTAATTTTTTTAATAGAATTTGTGCAAAGTTTTGAGCATGGAGTTTACTAGGCAGACGACCTATTGGATATAATATATTTGGGTTGGTATTTAATTTGATATATTAGTTTATTGGAGTTATAGATTACTAGGTGACATATTCAAATATTAGATAACTGTAAAATGTCATTGCAATTAAATTTATTAAGCTTCCTATCACGTAATTATTTATGCTCGTAGTACCTAAAGACTTTTTATTTAAATCGTTAGTGAGAAAATTTGGGTCATCAGACATGTCAATATTTAACCTGGATATTAGGAAAAATTTATTCTTTGCTGGCAACAGAGCATTTATATAATTCAAACGACGTTATTTTTTCTATGACGAATTTGTACACAACGTAATTTAGTCCATTCCAATTTGTTTTAATTTGACCTCAAAACCAAATTAGACAATGTTATTATTTTTTTAAGATCTTGGGGTTAGAATATGTCAAACAACTTTATGGGTTGCTGTCCTCGGACAGTGTTGCCAGATTTTAAAATAACATTAATGGGACCGAAATTTCAGTGATTTTGTAAAAAATTTAAGAAAATATTTAGTTAAAGATACGAAAGCGAATCTGATTCTCATTTTTCTGTACATTTAAAAGTTGTTAAAAAAATCAAATTTTGTATGCTTACTTAATTTTTTTTGGACTTTGATATTTACCACTTTTACCATTACCTACTTGAATAAGTGAAAATAAAATTGTGTGAAGAGTCTTAAGTGAAGACACTGAAACGAACATATGGCATCTTCATCAAATTATTAACATTTGTTTTCACTATCTCACAAAGGAAAGTAAAGTATAGTAAAGTAGAACAAAACTACATAAATAGTTAATTTCAAATTTCTATTGATTTATGGCAATCATTACCTTGACAGTAATTCTTTAAAACTATGCCCCTAATTAATTGCTTCATTACGTCGGGGTTTAAAAAAATCATATTTTATAATATGGGTGATTCTACAAAAGTTGGACAACTTGATGTCCTCAGTCAATAGAGTAGGTATTTTAATATTTTTTGTAAATATTTTAGTAAATTACAAAAGATCCAGGTTTTTTTAACTTGTCCACCCAATTTTATGTATTTTTTCAAAAGCACTTTTGTAGAAAAACATAATAAATATTCAAAACTCCTGAATAAAATATTTGAGTGATTTACTTTTAAAATATATTCAATTTATCTTAAATTTTTTAATTTCAATACAAACTATAAAACATTAAATAATGTATTTTTCATATTTTATCATAGATTCGAATAATAGCAGTTTTTAAGAAATTGATAATCTTTGTACTCACTTTTACCCGTCAGTTCTGTGTCAAATGTTAAAATTCAAAATTCCTGCGAAATATTGGAACCACGCTCAAAAATTTCGTATAGATATAAAAATGAGCCAGTGAAAAAATGAGCTCTTAATTTCAAAATTAAGATGCTCCTCATCGCACTTTTCGATTTTCCATAAGAATAACATAGGAAAAATTATTTTTGTTTCTTTTTATTTTTGTAACTAACGAACAATAAGTCGTACTATAAAGTTCTTGAAATATTTTTGTAGAGAATTGAACGCTCTACAAAAAAGGTCTAAAGTCATTTTTCGGTAAGTAAACTTGGTTAAAAGTTATTCAAGGTTAAAGTGAAATTAACCGTCAATTTAGTCGTTTTCTCGGATTTTTTCTGGAATTTTAGTTCAAAGTGCTAAAAACGAATCGAAATATTGTTTTTGAGCTTTGGAAGTTCGGAAAAACAGCGTTCAATTCTCTACAAAAATATTTCAAAATTTTTGATGATGAGTCGGGCAGACTCGCCAAATAAGTTAAAAAAACCCAAAAATTTTGTATAATTTGAACTTTGACCTTAAATTTCTTTAGAATGATCAAATTTATCAAAAAATCATAAGAAATCTTTTTTGTGGAGCGTTCAATTCTCTACAAAAATATGTCAAGAACTTTAAAGTACGACCTATTGTTTTTTAGTTACAAAAATAAAAAGAAACAAAAATAATTTTTCCTATGTTATTCTTATGGAAAATCGAAAAGTGCGATGCGGAACATCTTAATTTTGAAATTAAGAGCTCATTTTTTCAAAGGCTCATTTTTATATCTATACGAAACTTTTGAGCGTGGTTCCGAGAAAAAAAACAAAAAAAAAAGGTTTTTTTTTAAACACCCTATTATCTATGTTCTCATAACAAAATACTGTTTAATTTTCTCCGAAATCTATATAAACAAAAGTTGCCCAACTTTTGTGGAATCACCCATATGACAAATAAAAAAAAATTCTACTCACAAAATCCGCTGAAAGTGATGAAGCCTGCGACCATCATGACGGGGTGTAAATTGAACTGTTTCGTGGGGTCCTCCCTCCACGCGAATCCTCCTTGGTACTGAATGACCCAGTAGAGGGTCAACCCCAGGGTGCCCAGCAGCAGAAAAATGGAGATGGCCACCACCAAGATATACTCGAACCAGTTCCCGCATCCCCATTCGTTATCATCCTCGTAGTGCCGATGTCTGCAAGGTGAATACTTTTTTTTATTGATAGGCTCCCACTTGAAGTTTTCGAAGAAATACATGAAAACGCACATTTTGCAGTTTGGTTCGATCGGTACTGATTCAAAATTGCAAATCTATACTGGTTGCTTAGCATTTTATGACATAATAAAAACTGGTAATGATTATTTTTAAAAATAAACACATCAATTTGTTTATGGCAAAATCATTTATTTTTAGTTTGTTGTATTTCTATTTTTAATATATTTTTTTTTTGATATTATGTAGTCATAAAATGTAAATGTAAATTTTCATATATGAATAAAAAATACACGTACGTTTATAATATACATGTTTAAACAAAAAGATGTTTTTTACCATAAGTTTAAGACTGTACTTTACTTCTTGTGGATTTTTTTAAAAAACATTGCAATTTCCAATATTTTCCTGTATGAAGAACTAAGGTTGCTATGGTCCATCCATAGCCTATGGAGGATGACAGTGACAGTTTTGTTGAATCATCCCATACTTGGATATGTCAAATACAAGCTTTCAAAAGCTATCAAATTGTTTTTTGTAAATTATTGTGTTAATTTTGTGGTGTCTTCTTACTTTTAAAAATGTCTCCGACTGATGTTGTACTTTACTTCTTGTGACCTTTAAAACACTTGACTCGTAATACTGTGATTAAATTAATGGCTCTGGCAACATCAGTCGGAGACATATCCATTTTTTAAAGTAAGAAGACACTTCAAAATTTAAACATTAATTTGCAAAAAACAATTTGATAGCTTTTGAAAGCCGTGTATGACATGTCCAAGTATGAGATGATTCAACAAAACTCTCACTGTCATCCTCCATAGGCTATGGATGGACCATAGCAACCTTAGTTCTTCATACAGAAAAATATTGAAAATTGCAATGTTTTTTAAAAAAATCCATATTTTCCACAAAAATAAATATAACGAGATGAACCAAAAACAAAACTGTTAAGAATAGATGTGACTTGATAAATAAAACTTAAGTGTCTTAAACTTATGGTAAAAAACATATTTTTGTTTAAACCTGTATATTATAAACGTACGTCTATTTTTTAGTAATTTTTAAAATGTGCGCGATTGTCCATTAATTTATCTACAATATTCTTTAAATTCGACATCAAATAAAAAGTTATTTGCGATTGAAATTCATCGAAAATTTGTGTGGATCGATTATTTTGCCTGTGAGTGTAGAATATTTTTTCAATCACCCTAATGTTTATTTTTATTTATTATTTAATTAATTTTGTTACAATATAATGTAATTATATTATATATCTACTTAAGTGTTGCTGTTCTTGTACAGTGTTGCATAATATTTAAAATTTGATTTTTTCTGACTCTTCCAAGACAAAAAGGGCCAAACATTATACAGGTATACTACATAGTAAGCATGATATTAAAGTGATTTAATATAAAACGCTATGAATTTTCGCACGACAATTTAACAGTCATTTATTAATTTATTACAAATTATTTTGTTAACTTTGCTTGCTTAACTGACATGCACAGGATAAATTAAACATTCTCCTATGCATCATAGGCTAAATAGTTTTTATAAATAAATAAAATAGATAAAAAAGTATTTTTACGAAAATTTATTTTATTATAATAATTATGATGATTCATTAAAAACAGATAAAACTAAAGAGATTCCTATTAAAATAAAAAAATATTTTATCCCCCGATATTGTCACATTGTGATATTTAATAAAACTAAATGAGTTTGACCTACACTTTTATTGTGTTTTGATCTTTCATAATTAAGTTGATATTACAGCTCAGGTTACAAATTTTTAACCGCAATTAATTATTTTTTACAATGTTTTAAAACCTATCCTCCGTGACTGTTACTCTTTCTAGGTTAACCTATATCTTTTCAAATATCTGAGGTGGTAAAAGAATACTAAAAATATCAGTTCACTAAGTAAATTAAACACATCCAAAGCAATCGAATCAAATATAAAATATTATTAAAAATTAAAAGAAATAATTTTTATAACCATTTATGTAGGTATTACAAAAATTGATTCTATCCTCTGTGAATCTGTTTTTGCTTTAAATTTTATGCAACGGATGGCGCTTTAATCATTTTAAATAAGCAAAAACCTCTGTTTACGACATTATAGATGCATGTGATTCCTGAAGGTAGGTTAGAATTTATATGCAGATGAGAGTGTTGCTGTTTTATAATTCAAAAGTTTAAGTTCATTAATTTGCTATTTAATCGTGAAGTGTTATATCTCAGTAAGAAGATTTATTAAGGTGTCAAAACTATAACTTATTTCAAATACCTATACAAAGGTTTAAAGTTTAAATTATAAAAATATTTTTAATATCTTAATTAAGGTTGAAATATTGCAATAGTGAAAACTAAGTATTTGCATTATTTTATTTACTTTTTCATGTGAAGTAAACCAATTTCTTTCTTTTTAAATAATGCATTGTACAAAAATTAAACATTAAAACATTGAATTGTAAATTTGTATTGTTTTCAAAGAGCCTTCTAATGCCAGGCGATAACTAAGCCTAAAAAAATATCACCATTGTTTTTTATCAAAATCTAAAACGTAAATTATGTGTACAGCTGGGTAACATAAAATGTCTTAAAATTTGAGATTATGATTTGATAAAGTTAAAAAAAATAAAATATTGAGTTTACACCCATTTAGTATTTCCATTTAATATTCCAGACAAAACCCCTTATCATTTAATAAATAAATTCGTTATTAATGCACCTAGTTGTATATGCGGGTATGATTCAGGAGAGAGATGATATCTTACAAAAATAAAAGTAGAATAAAGGCATTTATACATTGCGTGCATCGTGTCTTGTTATGCAATTTACCCTTACAAAATAAAAGAGTTTAAAGAAGTTTAAGTCGGTTTATCAATGTTCAGAGTTTTATTAAAAGAATTTTAAATTTGTTAAAATTAAAGTTTTCGAGGCTTAAATATTGCAAAACAATTTAAAAAATACTCCTGTTAAAAACAATTTTTGTTAATTTAAAACTTTTAATACGAGAAATAACTGAAAATGTAAAAGAAAGTTTTACTTCCACTATAATCGACTATAAGTGTTAAATTATCTGTTAACAATGGAAGAAATGTTTATAATACATAGTTTTTCCAATGGTTGTAAAAATGCCTTGCATTCAAGTCTTTTATCTTTATAGGTAATAAAAACGTTTTTTATAATATCGTGTACAATATAGTAAGGCATAAATAAAACGTAACGGTTTGTTGGTTTCATCCCACAGGTGTACTAAATTTTCACCGGTATATCACAAGATATGTGTCTCATGCAAATTTATTGTAATACATTTGTTAGGTGCATGCATTTTTGCATATGGGCTCGTATAAATATTCAATTTAATACAACCAACCTTTGAATACTAATATTGTTGTGAGATATCCGTAGAAAACAAACTCAAAGATGTTTATTAATGGAATCAATTCCAGTACATCAAATTTTTATAACGTTGTAAAAGTTTTAGTATTTTATTATTTAACTTTTTAAAATTTGTCTTTGGCAATTGGTCATTTTTGTCTAATTTACGTAGACTTTTTTAATTAATTACCAATGTGGTTGAAACATAACATATTATATTCCTGGAAAATTTATTTGAATAATAATTATAATTATTACAAAATTTCTGCATAAAACTTCAAGAATAATATTCGCGATTCGAAATGAAAGGCTCAAACTTATTTAGTTTTCTTTTTACTTGGGTAACTTCTCTTTCCGCCTTAGACGTTTCAATCCATTCGGACTGTTTTTGCAACTTCCTTATGTATTCGCTATTCTAGAGAAACTCTCAGCTATTTTTAGCAGCATCAAAGCATCTTTTTTGCTGCTAATATTTTGTGTAAATCATATTATTTTCCTAATAAAAACAATTCGCATTTTTCACATTTGTTTTATTTTACTTTAAAGTTAGTAGGTACTATGCTCCACACCTCAAAGTCCCACCACGTGACCACGTACGGAACGCAGTCTTTTGAAAATTTGGCATTTAAGGCTTTTCAGGTTATGTATCTGTCAAAGTATAGTCAATCAAAGAAATAATATTTATAGTGTTACCGCTTATGTTTAAAGTTAATAAATCTTTATAGTGTCACAATAACAATGGTTGGTTTAAGAATTTAGGAATATAAATACTGCATTTAATGAAATTCCAAAGTGTAAGGTGCAATATAAGTTATATTTTTGTGCATTGGGTCTACATTTCTCCATAAAATAGTTTTAACTAAACAGCATTTATTTAAAAAAATCTAACTTCTCTATTATGAAATAAGAATATCTGTATGAAAGGTAGGTTAATGTATAAGAACAAAAAATATCATCTAATTTTGTATTTTAAGGTTAGAAAAATCTATTTTGACCAAAATTAATAAGTGGATTATTTGAAAGAATGTGTTAATATGGTCATAAATAAATATAGGTATACTAAATAATTGTTGAATATAGTTCAAATTAAATTGAAGCTTTTATACTTCTAACGACAAAACTTGTGCATACCTCTCGGCATACTTATTTTAAGTTAAATTATAAGAAAACAAACAATTTTTAGAGAAACTTGCAAAGTGTAAATATTTAATACTCCCATGACAAGTGATTTATTAAAATTTTTAAAGTTATAATGATTTTTTTATGTAGATCAAATTCAGTCGAAGCTTTTTAACTATTTGTATTGACAAAACTTTATGTAGGTACACTTTAAGCTGGATAAGAAAAACTACCACATTTTTAAATACCATATTATACAGTCTTTTAAATAATCAAAAATACTTATTTATTTTGGTCAAAATAAATTTTTCTATCCTTAAAATTACAAAATTAGATGATATTTTTGTTATAATATATTAACCTACCTTTAATACAGATATTCTTTTTCCATAATAGAGAAGCTAGATTTTTTTAAATAAATGCTGTTTAGTTAAAATTATTTTATGGAGAAAACCAGATATTTGGACCAAATG